TGTTTTTATATCTAATAGATTCTTAAATTGTCTATCTAAAAACATACTTTTAAATGTCTTAAATCTTTTAGATGCAAAATCAATAAATAGGGTGTTCCATTAAAAATTGTTAAGATATTGAATTTTTAACAACTTCTTAATTTTTTCATCTTTACAAATGCAACACAAAAAACGTTATAGTCTTAAACAATCCTAGACGAGACAGAAAGATTTCCATACAAAGAAATTACAAATTGGGCTAAAAACCGTTTTGAAATACATACTTTGTGTCATTTTTTAATCAAGAAATCACCAATACTGCAATTTACAGCTAAAAAAATCGGTAACATGGTCCGAATGTGATATGTGCGACGGAGTGAGTGAGCCTCGAGTCAGGTTATTAATATTACTTTCAATATTGTTTTGTTGGAATTTTTATTAGAAATTTTCTTGTTTTTCCGACCAACAATAGAAAACCACTCTCGGCAAGATTGAAACTATAACTTTTATGTATATAGTACATGTTTATAAAGATATATGTTCTGTAATAACACTTTTTTGAAAATTAAATATGAAAAAATGTGCACTAGCTTACAAGCTCATTAACCATAAGTGACCATGTGAATAACATTCACAGATAACGTGATGCACAAACAAAGCTATAGAATAATAAAATTTTTCCGAATTCCGTCCTATATTGAAAATTTATTCCCACACTTTACTTTTTTTTTAAGTAAAGAAATCAATTAGCCTAAACTGTTGATATGTTGAAATAAATAATAAACAATTAATTGTTTTGAAAAAAATTGTTAAAAAGTGGTTCTCTTAATGGTCCTTTAAAATGGGTTTTGAGTCTGATGCTGACTCTTCATACATAGAAAAAAATGCAAACAATTGATTCTTTGATACTCAAAAAATCAAGTTAAAAGTATTGAGTAGTATACGGGAAATTTGAAAATTCTTCAGAATACTTCAAAATTATGTACTCTGAAATAACAGCAATGACCAACACAAATGTTCTATTAGACTCAAGAGTAAACTTTAATAATTATTGTGTTTGCAACAATTTGCTGTTTAATGTTTATGAAGAGTAAAATTTCTTATTGTTCCAATTTTTAGTTTTTTTTTAATAATTTGTTTCATTGTATTATTATCAAAGAACATATTTGTTTGTCCAATTTATGTTTTATTACAGTTTAAATAAAAATCTTGTGTCAAAAATTTCATTACGTAGCGATGTAACAAGATTTGTTACGTAACTAGTTACGTAATAAGTGACAGTACATCACGTCAAAATTAGACGTAAAATCTGACATTTGACAGGATTTGAAAATAGTATATTACATAACGAGCATGGAAAGTGACAAATAACGCACAAAATGGAGAGTTAGACACTTTCCAGTGAGTTATATACACTATTTTTCCGACGATCCCGCAACCCCATGACAAAAAAATAACTATTATTTTTAATAAAACGATTTAATTTAGATCGACAGTTTTTAAATTAGGCGTCTATTAATATTAATACTTACTTAAGCTGATTTAGGTTTAAATAGTCGGTGGTTTTATTTACAAAACTTTACCTCAATTTTGAAGGATGAAGAAAATAAAAGTCAAAAGCAATGCACATGGACAAGAAACGGCGCAATTCGCCAGACGCGCCTAGGACTCTCCGCCAATCGCAACAACCTCTTACGTTATTTTCATATCACACACGTATGGTTAGGAGAATAATTTATTCTTTCGATATCGTCAACTTTCGTAGGTAATTCGCTGTATGGAAACAGTTACTTTCGTATATGGACGTGGGAAATAGTTATTTACATTCGCGTGTGGTAAGTGACATTTTACAAGGCAAAATTTATTTGATATACTTACGACGCGTAGCAGAGTGTTGTAATAATTGAACCCTGTAAAATAGTTAACACACAAGATTTGTATTAAACTTTTTGACCAAAAACTGTTATTAAAAAAGCAGAAATATTTTTTTTATTAGGCGTTAATGACAAGGACACGTCAAAAGAATCGTGATGGCTATGAAAAATTGAGTTATGGGTATTTGAATTATTACAAAAGTAACCTTAAAATTTTGGGGTTTGTTAATTTTTGTCACAATTTGAAAACATTAGAGGAAAGAAAAAATCAAATTCAAAACTTTAAAAAATGGCAGAGTTACCGATTTTTAAAGTAGAACGTGCAGATCCAAAAAATTTTGAAAAACTCCAAATATTTAAAAAACGGTTGAATTTAGGTATAGGGAAAGCTGATAGAAACTCCCTTGAAATAATCCGATTAATACAAAAAAGCAGTAAACAATATAACTTTCTATTTAAAATAAGAAAGTCGAGACCGACTTCTGGTAGAACCGGAAGTGCCGCCATCTGGAAAATATTTTCTTTTAGCAGGATTTAATGGATTATGGCAATTTTCAAATAAATATGAGTATTCGAATTCCCAATAGTTTTAATGTGGGGTTTAGACGGAACATCCTGTATAATTTGAACTAGAGTGTTTTTAATAGTTGTTAGTAGATGACAAAAAATGTGAAAATAACTGAACTTGCTTTATCTAAAAGTTCAGTTTCTGAGATATCTAAAGAGTTTTAATCACCAAATAAGTTTAAATTTTGTAAACAAATATATCTCTGAGATTGGTTCTTCTAAATCGATTACGCTGTTTTAAAATAAATGAGTTAAAATCAATAAAAACCGCAACAAGAGTGTCCTGTTTATATTAAAAAAGGTGAAAATTTTGCATCAATTTTTTTGTTGAAGATACTCAAAAAATAAACGTCGTTTATTATTTTTTTATACATATTATTTATGCCGACATATCATTATCATATGAGGTTTAGCCTGAACACCCTGTAGCATGGGCGCCGACTCATAATTTTTTTAATGAAAGAATGAAAATAATGTACTCTTGTTTAAGGTAAAAAAATAATAGTAACAACTCTTAATAATATTTGGAATTTCGTATTTATTCTAATCTTTTTTTACTAACGTTGCATTTTTATAATCACTTTTAATGTTAAAGATGTCTTAAATTTTTTTTCTATTCATCGTTTTGTTTTTCCATTTTTCAAGTTAATTCACAGTTAAGCTCTTTAGTGAAAAACTCCTTGAAAAAAGAGTTTTTATTATCTCAAAAAACCTTTTACTATTCCAAGAAAAAACAAAAAAATTTCTTAAATTTTTTGATGATTTTTAAAATATTGTACCTGAATGAAAAATGGTCGAATTTCGATTTAAAAAATCTATTTTAAAGCTTCAAGCTTCTAGTCTTGAAATCTTTGGTCAAAAAAATTTCTGAGCTACAGTTATTACGTAATTCCAAGAAAAAGCGCGAGAAAAAAAAATATTTTTTTATTCTTTTTTTGGTCCACGGACTTGGGAAAATTTTTATTAATTAAATCAATACCTCAGCATCAGCTTGTTCATTCAGCTTTAATTTGCTTTTTTATGTTAAAAATAAAAAAAAATTGATATTTTTGAAAATGTAAAATATCAAAAACTAATTTTTGCATTAATTGCATTAATGAAAAGTTGACAACAAAACTCAACAACTTGAAGCATTTTGCAACTCTGAACATGTACTATTTTCTTCACACTTTTTATTGCATTTTATTTATTGATTTTTTATATTATACAAAAAATTATATTGTTTTTAAATTTTAAAAACATCAAATACCAACATGTTCTGTATGTTCAACCAGATACTCTAAATATCATGTACTACACAGATAAGGGTTTAAAACCTTAAAATCAACCTAGGGTGAATTTGTTTCTAGGTACATTAAAAAAGTCCAGTATATTTCGAAACTACTTTTTATTGTCTTACATTTACTAGTTTCTAACAAATAAAAATAATATTTTCTAGTATTAGATTCACAATTTAATTATGTTTCTGTAAAAACCAAAATTATTACATTAATTAATTTGCGATTTAATTTTCTTTTTGCGTTCCAACTTATTGCCTTTAACAATATAAACACTTAAGGAGTTAGGCATCAAACTTTTCGAAGGCACTTGTTTCAATAGATTGTTTCCTAAATGTAAATATCTGAGGTTAATTAAGGAACGAAACATTATTGGAGTTATAAATTGAAGATAATTACTGTCCAAATAGAGAACTCGTAAAGATGGTAATTTGGTAAATGTCATCGTTTGCAAAGCTCTAATTTTATTATGGCTCAACATCAACGTCTTCACAGTGTTTGATTTCATAAGAGGTCTCTGTTTTGGTAAGCGAACCCTATTCTTGGCTAAAAGAAACGTCGTCAATTTTGGAATAATGCCACTTATGTACATTGGAATTCTCCGGATTCTATTTCCAGTAAAATCGACCAATTCTAAATTAGGCATGAATGTAAATATTGTGCGATTTATTCTTGTCAGGTCCATGTGGTCAGCGTAAAGGGTGTCGGCTTGCTGTATCGGCCACTGTTCGTGAAACACGAGTGATTTTCCCATTCCTGTTATGTCGACACATTTTACCGGATCCGAGGGAAAAAGCGCTTTTGACGGGTTGAGATATGCAGTGTTCCTGGAGCTGCAAGGGGCGCCTTCTGTGAAACCACCCTCGACGTTATGTCGACTACTAAAAGTTAATGAAAAATATTAAATTAAAATAAAGCTTCCTGCTGACGAAATTTTCATGCTACTCCCGCCATAAACGACAAAACATCTGTTGAATAAAAGGATGATGTAATATTTTTCTGCCAAATGTTATGTAAATCCTGCTCAGAATTTAATTTACAAAATATTAATGCGAAAATAAGTAATCTAATACAACTCTAAGTTTCATAATACATAATAATACCTAATTGCAATTAATAAATTAATTTCTGAAATAAAATTTAAATATAATTTCATTTCTCTCTGGTTTTCGGTGAATCACACCTATCTCATAAAACGACCCAAACGTTGACATATTCAAATGCCGTAAGCAGCTTACAAATAATGTGAACGTCACTCAACTTTTTAAAATGTTTGCATGTCACAAAATAAATTTGCTTTCTTTATACTTATTTGCTTTTTTACTTTTTAAGCCGTACTTTTTCAATAGATTCAATAAAATGCGCTTTTCGGTTTTTGGGTTATAAGTCTTAATTTGACACATTTACAAAATTAGAAATTTGTGTTGTTTTGAACAATCATTTATCTTCAGAACATAATAAATAGCTCTAAAAAGTGTGATCGTATTTTGAGAATGAAATTTTGTTTTGTTTTTAAGAAGTTATGTGAAAATAATTCTTAGATTTAGCCTTTGTAAAAAAAGATTTCAATTTCAAAAAATTGTATTCTTGATGCAACTTAAATTTTTATAATACCTTATTATTTATCAGAAAAAAAATGTTTAAGCAAAAAACGTTTGGTTCCATACCGTTTGTTCACTTGGTATACCAAAATTTTAGAATTTTTAGAAATTTTTTTTGTTTGTTTCACATGGCTGATTTTGAAATACACAACACTATTTAAACCCCAAATATCACAAAGCTTCTAATAAGCTACGAAAAAATATTGTTTGTAAAAATATGATAAGGGAGAAAATTGTTATGAAAAAGAGAAAATAAATCGAAAGAAGGACAATCAAATGCAATTTTGCATCAATCGATGGCTCTTGAAATAAGGAACAATTCACATTGCGTCAATATGTTAGCTTCCTAACACCTTAGTGGGTCATTTAAAAAATGTACACGGTGTCCCAAGTTTTAGGGCGGGCGCAAAAATAAATATTTCTAAATGATTAAAAAATTGCTGGTGCAAACGATAGAGCCTTTAGTTTGATGCTTTAATATTATTCAAAATTTTTAGCGTATATCAGTAAGAACCTAAAAAAATTAATTGGAATCTTTTTCACATGATAAAATTCTTTGATTGCGGACCTTTTTCTTTTGTCAACAAATTCTGGCCTGATCACCAATTACCACAAACCCCCCATAAATTATTCCAAATTTCAGATTTTCAATATTAAAATGTTTATTATTCAAAACCTATCAACATTTTTATTATTCTATTTTCACAAATACCACAAAAAAATCAAAGAATTGTATCATGTAGAAAATATTCCAGTTAATTAAAAATTTTTACTCCAAATCTGATTTTTAAGGTCTGGCTGCCATACGCTAAACATTTTGTACAATGTCAAAACACCAAATTGAAGTGAAAAAAAAACTAAAACTTTGAACACCCGGTATACCTCTCTTTTTCAATACTTACAGACCGCATTTTTTACCCCAGACATTGGAACTCTGAATTCATTTTGACACTTTATTTAAGCATTATTTTTATTAAGAAAGACATAAATTTATTTACTTATAAATATTATTGTCAAAACTCAAAATAATAATAATGTGGGGTATAGCGGGAACCGCCAGTATACTCGCCAATTTAGTATTTAAAAATTTTATTATCAGTGTCAATAACATCTAGTGAAAAATAAAGTGTCAGGTGAAAAATAAATGGTTAATTAATTATAAATTAGTAATTACTACAAATAATTTTTTTTATTTACCCTTCGTTTATTCATCTCTTTTATAAAAAAATGTATCGAAATTTTAAAATAACCGAAATATTGAAAATAGTATTTTATGTATATCTATGTTATTAAAAAAATCACTATGTATATTGGGTTCTTTGATGTTTCTAAAAGTAAACCGTAATGTTTTTAGTGCAGTGTTAGCTATTTGTGTAATATGAGGCATAAATGTAAAAGCAGTATTGTTTTGTTTTTGAGTTATGCGATTTTGTCAAAATAGCAACTTAAGTATGTAAAAATATTTCGATAAATATTGAATAAAATGTAGATAGTTGTAATCCTCGGATTACGATTTTGTAAAAAAAATTATAGTGGGTTGCCAATCGAAAAATATATTTTTTTTACAATTTTTTTTTATAGTACTTTACCTTTTATCAATTATTTTTTTTTTTGAAAAAATAAAATGTTTACTTTTTAATCACTTGGTAAATTACTGAAATGTTTTCAATACGAGCAAATTTACACATTTTGTAAACTTTAACTATCTTTACCACTAATCGAAGCTTGCTGTGGATGATTCAATAAGTTGATTAGAGTATATCTAAGTTGTTTTACAAGATCGTCCCTAGGGATATAAAGTTGATTATCAAAATGAGCCTTTTGTGAGCGCCTAATACAAAAATCAATATAAACAAAGAAAGATTTTCCTTTTTCCGTGAACACAAGGCAATTACAACAGCGTCGCAGTTAGACACAGAAATAGATTCTTATGCTTGGGTGAGTCACGACGGGACCAAATTTTACCTACAACATGCATTTTATCCAAAATCAACTTAAAATCTTGCATTTAAACATTTTATTTCGTGGATAAAACGCCAAAAAAGCACTTATACAAAAATAGTAAATTACATATCGACGTGGGAGGTGCTTCATTCCCAAGACGAAATTTTCATGACCAAGGCGCGAAAACCGAGATACGATGAAGCAACGACCACCAAGGTTTGTATACTATTTTATTCACAATCATTCTCCTTAAAAATTAGAAAGCAAATAAAGAATTTATCAAATTTGGAAAAACATGACATACAGGCTGTCCCAGCGAGTTGAAAAAGTGGTAAAATAAAAAAAAAAATAATATAGGACATTGATAGATACTAATCTAGTTCATCGCCTAAAATTATTTTCAACTATACAGCGTGTTCCAAAAATAAGTTACAATACAAACTTGTGTTTTTTTAAATGAAACACGGTATGTTTCTAGTCATTTTTGGATGTAGCCTTTTAAAACAATGTTTTTACGCTAAACTTTTATTGGTCGATTTTGCTTAGTTTTAAAAATAATAAGATGGTTTTTTTGACGAAAATATGCACTTTTTAAAAATTTATTACACAAAAACTAAGTCATCTAGAAATATTTTTTTACTACCGCAAAGAAGAAGGTACAAGCTATAAGGTTGTAACATTTTTTAGTGTGTTGCATTTGCAAAGTTAAAAAAAAGATTACTTTTAGGTGTTTATAATCAATAACTTAAAAGATATTTAACGTTAAACATTAAAAAAAAACTATTGTTTCGGTAGCCAAAAAGTGCTCAGTTGCACAAGAGATGGAAGAAATATCACTTAATAATCACATTTGTGTTAAACTAAATCCATTATTCTATATTTTTACAATAAAATAATTCGAATTTCAGTATTTATAACGACTTTTACAATCTCTGGATAAATCAACGGATAAGTGATCCGTGGTGGAATTACTATTGTTGCCATAGCATCAACAATCCTCAGATATTGATAAGCATTGTTGCTACAATTAATATTTAATGTTAAATATCTTTTCATTTATCGCTTCTAGACATTAAAAGATTATTTCTTTAGATAGACAATTTATCAATTTATTAGTTGCAAACAAATAAGGTGTTCCATTTATTTTTTTTAGATTATTTAACTTTTAACAAACTTAATTTATTAATCTTTACAAATGCACAACACTTAAAAATTGCTACAGCTTTAAGTTCTGTACTTTCTTCTTTGCAGAAGTATAAAAAAAATTGTTCTACCTGTCTTAGTTTTTGTGTAATAAATTTTTAAAAAGTGCATGTTTTCGTAAAACAACGTCTTATTTCTAAAATTAAGCAAAATAATAAAAGTTTAGCGTAAAAACATTGTTTTAAAAGGCTACATTCAAAAATGCCAAGAAACATACAATGTGTTATTTTAAAAAAATACAAGTTTGTATCGTAACTTACTTTTGGGACAAGCTGTATGGTCAAAATAATTTTAGGTGATGAATTAGATTAGTATCTATCAATGTCCTATGCAATTATTTTTTTAATTTTACCATTGAAAGGTTACTAATGGACTTTTTCAGCTCGCTTTTCAACACCCTGTATATCTAAAAAAATAAACTAACAAACTAAACAAACTAACAAATTTTTAAATAATAAAAATTTGCTGTAATTTAAAAATACCAATAGAATAAAAAGCATAGAACCAAACGGTTTTTTTTTTCGAAAAACTAATTGATGAATGAAAAAGTACTATAAAAATGTGATATGTTTTATCAGGAATAAAATTTTTCGAAATTTCCTTTTCTTTTTGAGTTTTACAATTTTTTTTATATTTTTAAATAGCAACCCACTGTAAAACCATTTTTCTCATGAGGGTTAAGATTACAATGATTTTTTTTTGCATAAATTGCAATTTTGACAAAAAAATCTCATAACTCAAAAACAAAACAAAATTTCGTTCTCAAAATACGATCACATTTTTCATATTACTTAAATTTATATTAAAAATGATTTTAAAAAAACCGCTTAGTTCCATACTTTATAGGTATTCATCCTGTTTATTATTTAAATGAAAAAATAAATAATTTGGCAGATTTTTAAAAATTTCAAAAAATTCATGTCAAAACTCTTTTCTGCGTGAGTTTCAGGACAGACGTTTTAAAAATGGTGAATTTTTTTAAATGAGTACTAAATATTGCATAAAGCCTCGTCGATCGTATTAAAGTAAAAAGCAATGATAGAAATTAATTATAAAGATTGCAATGTTAAGAATTTTTCTTATTAATATTATCATTAAAAAAAAAATACATATAGTTTCTAAATTCCAAATAGGTATACATATGGATGTAAAACACATTTTTTCTATCTACAATTATTCCTTGGAAATTTTCAGTGTTTATTTAAACATTTCTTTTTTCTTCATTTTTTTGTGTTTATTAATTCATAAATCAATAGTTATTTAGTATACAATACAATAAAGAATTTGTTTATTTACTAGTAAAACAGTTAAGTTTACGAATGACGAAGTCAAATAAAAATATTCTTTTAGATAGGGTGTTCCATTAAATTTTTTTTTGTTATCTAACTTTTAACAAACTTCTTAATTTATTAATCTTTACAAATGAAAAACACTAATAAATGGCTACAGCTTTAAATTCTGTACTTGCTTTTTTACAGAAGTAAGAAAAAACTTTGTTCTAACTGTCTTAGTTTTTGTGTAATACATTTTTAAAAAGTGTATGTTTCCGTCAAGAAAACGTCTTATTTATAAGACTAAGCGAAATCGACTAATAAAAGTTTAGCGTAAAGACATTGTTTTAAAAGGCTACATCCAAAAACGCCAAGAAACATACAGTGTTTTATTTAAAAAATCACAAGTTTGTATCGTAACTTACTTTTGGGACATGCTGTATGCTTAGTAAACGGCGATTGTACCCCTATTTTCGTAAAGCGGCATTTTTTATTTTAATACACTTTGTCATAACATAAAAAATATTGTTTTAATCAAGAGTGTCACCTTAATTTTATTCAATTAATTTGTTTTACTTCTGTTAAATTATTAACTGATTTTTAATAATAATCTACTTCATTTCATTTTAATCCAATTCAATTCTGTTAAAACCAGAACTAATTCATCAAAGTGTATTCCAAACAATTCAATCATTCTAAGACCCTTAGGCCTGATAGCTTAGACAGAAGAGCACTCAACCGACAACTGGGAAAACATGGGTCCGGCTGGAGTCGAACCTGAGTGTCTTAATTGCAACCACGCCTACCATAAAAATACTGTTAAATTTAATTTAAGTATATTTTATTTGCTCTCAAGATGGTGGTTTACTTTGAGCTTTTCGGCAATCAAAACAAATTGTGGAGCACATAATGGGATGATAAAGATGCGAGGATTGTAATTCGGTCCCTCAAGACTGGCTTTTTCTGTCAGGAAGCCCTCCTAGTATGAGAAATTTTGTAATTTTTCATTACATTTTTTCACTATTCTCGTACGTTGATTTTTTAGAAAAAAATGTTCACTAGGAAGCAGCTTTTTTTCAAAAACATTATTGTAAATAAATACACCAAAGCAGTTACAATTTGCCTCTTTTCAAAACTATTATCTACTCACAAGGTTTAATAAATTTATACTCGTACCACAGAAAAATATGGCCGGAAATCAAGCTTTTGATCAAGCTCACCTTTTCTTTTGAAAAAAACATCCCACATGACATGAACAAATTTTCAATATTCTTAAAGTTACTCAAGAATACAATCAAAGCAGCAGGTATTTACATATTTCTTTTTTTTGGTATTACAATAATTAAAACTTTTTTTGGAAGTTGGTGGAAAAATGGCTAGAAAAAACACAACCCTCAAATTAAAAAAGAATTCTATGTCAGTGCAGAAAATTAGAAAAAACAGTGGCATATGTAAAAAAAATAAGAAAAAATGTGAGGTATTGATGAATTTGTGACAACTTATATTAAATTTTTTTTCGATAAAAATTGAATAAAATGCAGAACAGATAGTGTAATCTTTAGATTCCAGCCTTGTAAAAAATATTTTATAGTCGGTTGCAAATTAAAAATAAAAATTTTGCAGAACATAAAAACTAAAATTTTATTCTTGGGAAACATCATTCATCAATTAGTTTTAAAAAAATAAATAGTGTTTGATTCCAAACTTTCCATACACATAGTATAATACATCATACATGCACCTTATTTTGTAATAGTACTTACATTGGATTTAGTAGTGCAATTACAACTGCAATTATTAACGCTTGCGGCATTGTAATATTGTTATTGCGAATGACGCACTGAGCCGATTTTATTAAACCAGATGGTAAATTTATGTGAAAATCTTATCGTTAGTTTCATCACGTCATGTTACAAAATGTAAGCAGAAGCTTGTTTTTTATTGTTCCGTTTTTAACAATTAGACGTAAAGATAAAAAAATATCAAATTGATTCTTGCATATGGTTTACATCTTGAATTTGGTAATAATTATTATTTTACAGAGTGTGATAATAAACACAAGGATAAACCAGAATTTTGTAAATGTCAAATTAATTCCAATTACCTATGTAGGTGTGAATTCGTGATTATGATCATATATTTCAACAAAATGTATAAAATAATTAATCTGAGCAAACTTAAATATTGTTTGAGTTATTTGGCATCGTTAATACCGAGAAATTAGCTAATTTTCATTTGAAGAAAAAACTAAATTAATAATAACATGAGAAAATGATAAATTTATAATAATAATATTTTTTTTAAAGTCTCTTGGCCCCAAACTACACTTTGTGATTGATCATATAGCAAATTTTCATTAGAAATTCTTTTGCAACATTGACTGTTAAAAGAAGAGTGCAGAAATAGTGTAACCGAGAAAAGAACTCAGAGAATTGTTATTATTAAGAATGTTATTTAACTCCAAAATGTTGGTGCAAGGTTTGAGGGTCGCTGGAATTCTTTCTTTGTTAAGATAATATTATTCGCACATTGTTGCAACAAATAAAAAATTAGTATCCACGACAATGAAAGTGGAAAGTCACTTCATAGTTTTGACACTGTTATCTTTACTTTTTGCCTTACTTAATATAAAATTTGAAAATCTGTTGAATGTCATTCAACAAAATGTTTTCGAATCGATTTGATTTCTTTTTTCTTGATTTTTTTTCGAATTTATAGACAATTCAAACATTTTGAAATTTGACGCTTCAGTTTTGTCATTATGACAATCAGCATTACTAATATACAGTCCCCGGATTGAGTTTACAAGAGGAAAAAAATTATCTTTGATTTTACACCAAAGCTGCAAAGGAAAAACATTTTTTGCTTTACCTGAAACGAGCAAATTTGTAATTAAAACTTCAGTACAGATTTGTTCGTTTCAGGTGAAACAAAAAATGTTGTTCCTTTGCAGTTTTGGTATAAAATCAAAGATAAAAAAAATCCTCTTGTAAACCCAATACGGGGACATACCGTAATAATAAATTCAAAACTGCACGGTATAAAATTTATTATTTCCTTTCATAACAAATTGATCAAATCAAATTTTTAAATGGAGAACAAAGATAGTTGAAAAATAAAATTGACTTGTTCAAGGTTTTTGTTGACTCTCCCAAAATTTAATCCAATCAAATCTTTCAAATTTCTGAAATTCATCCAATTACGCGATACTTCAGCACGTCTGCAAATTATCCATAATTTTCAGGTGTGCTAAATTACCGCAAATCTGATTTGATTGATATAATTTTTTCTGATATCAATATTTCTCATAATAAAAATATTGTTTTTGTAAATTGTGTTCGGGAAATAGTCTGCAGAATACCTCTCTATTTTTAAAATACCCCCAATCAAACTTTTTTTTAGTTTAGAAATTGTAAACGAAATCTTTATACAATTCTTATAAATTCTGATAAAACATGTTTTCATTTCAAACTACAGTGGAACTCCCATAAGTGGAATTTTTCCGTAACTCAAATAAAAATCTGGTGTGAACATCACACGACTTTCCTTATCCTTTACGTACGCCCCTGATTAAAAATTTCGACATTTGATGTCTGAATTCGTTTAGGTGTATAAAGGTTATCATCTGTACCAAATTTTGTAATTTTATCTTAAATGGTTTCTGAAATATTAGCAAAAACCTATTAGCCCCTTTTCAGGGGGTGTAGCTCCCTTACCAAGCATTTTTCGATACATGTTTATAGGAAACTTTTGTCTTAGAATTGAATATACTATCACCTGTTTAAATTTATAACAATAAAAACGGAACACCCTGTATATTTTTAAAGATGAGTTGTTCTATTTTTTTTTTTTGTTCTAAGTTGCATTTGTGTGTAATTTAGTTAGCAAATAGAACATAAAAATCAGATATTCCTACATTCGAAAAGTATCACCACAAATTCAACAATGAATATTAATAAAGCGTTTAATGCTATTTTTCAGAGCTTTCTATTCAAGAAGTCAAGATTTTGATGCAAATTTTTTACATTTTTTCTATGCTTGTTTTTGCTAATTTTAGTTTAATTTTTTTAAACCAATCTAATAGTGTTTGAAGAACAAACCTTGGAAATTATATTTGTTTAGAATTTGTGTTGGTGAAGTTTAATGTTGCCGGTCAAATTTTAATTTATTCGCCGACTAAAACCCTCTATTTCTCTATTTCAAGTTGACTTTTGTTTTTATTATGACCTCTTTAAATTTTTGCACAACTTTTAAAATCACCTGTATACTCCATATACAGTATAAGTTTAGTATAAATTATACCAAATAAATATAAATGCACAAGTCATTTCAGAGTAAGACGTCAAAATCGGAAGCTTTAGCGCAATCCCTGACCTATCCCAATTTTATTGATTTCTGACACCTGCAACAGAGTCAACTGCAACCGCCCTCCCGGTTTGTAAACACAATTTGGAAACGTGACAAACATAATTGGCTTCTAAGCGTTTTAAAAGATTATCTAAAATAAAAACTGTTGATATTTAAAGCAATTTATAATCGTTTGTTTCATTAAACTTAAACCTGATTTAAAGCTATTGAAATTTTTATACAATCCCAAATTCATTTTCGTTTTGGTGATACTTGTGGTCTTGCAAAAGAAACAATTCGTTATATACCAACTATACTGGAGCGATTAGTTTATCTGAATTTCTTAGCAATGAAAAACGGTCAGAAACTGAAAATTTTTATAAATTTTTTACTTTCATTTTCTGTAGTTGTAAAAATGGACTTATAGAGAACGTTTTGGAAGATTTAATTATAAATTTCAGGGAAAATGATGATGACAGTAATTTTGGCATTAATTTTGAAGATCAAATGTTATAACGGACAACAATAAGTCATGAAGTGACCTTTTTTTTAGGAAAAATTTAAATGAAATTTAAAATAAAAGTTTGGTGTTTGTATACCATTTTCTAGTGCATTTAAATTCATGAAGAAGTTGAACGTGATCGTCTTCTACAGTGTAGAATTTCATTCAATTATAAGGGATTTTTGTGCTTGCTGCACTTGATTTTGCAGCTCACGTTTTGCCTCTTTTTTTACTTTTTACTTTTAGCTAATGCAAACTTTTGCACTAGTTTCGAGTTGAACACAATTTTTTATTTTTGTCCTATTTAATTTATAATATTAAATATCCAAGTTTGATTAAAATTATGATTAAAACCAAGTAGAAATAAATTTTCATTTAGTTTAGATTACGAAAGGTCGTCATATTAATCATAAATTAAAATTTGACCACAATTAAATGTTCTGTAAACAGACCCGTAATATTGTAATTGAATTCGTCATTCCGGCGGTACGAGGGGTGGTCCAAAATAGATTACTCCATTAAAATTTCATTAAAGAAAAACAAAAATAACTTTTAATCTTTGACTTTGAATTTCAGTTACTGTTTGTCCCCATATTTTCTTTTCAACACAAGGATTTACGAGACAATTAAAAGACGTTTCTTGCGTATAGGTGTATACCGATCGTTATATTACGACCGACAATAAAAATAAATCTTTATTAGTGTGAAAAAATATAGCAACTTAGGTTGGGATCCGAATATAGACGATGTAACTGACCGAAGTCCACTTAAGATTTCCAACAACAAGAAAAATTGTCTGGAATTATACCATTCCAAAGTATACTTTTTCAATTTGCCTAAAATTACATTGGGGGTCCTTTTGTATAAAAGTTAATCTTCTCACAATGGATTTATGATCTGATCCGTGTCACTCCCCTAAATCTATATTTTATTATTGTCGTCTTCTCCATTCACACACCATTCCATTGCAGTATTGGGAGTTATTATCATGTTTAGACACTGAAAATATGCCACTACCTAAAACTATTTTACATATGAATTTGATTAACATTCTTAGGGACATTTATTGTTATATGAACAACTTTAATTCCTTGGTGTTCTACGCGAGAACATTTTTATATATGTAGATTCCGATGCAAGTGCAAGAGCTGAATCCGGATTTGAAGTAGTGCCTATGGGATCGATTTATAAGCTTGGTGACAACATTTTCTAAAATGACTTCAAAGAGTAAGTAATTTCTTATTCAGAATCAGTAATGTGCTTATGCTTCTAGCCTAATTCTTAACTCTATTACTCAAGATCTCAAAAACTATGCAACTTATTGCATCGACTTGAGGTAAATTGACTATTTTTACGATTTTAATACCGCTCACCTTCAAAAACTCAAAAAATTCTTAATTTTTTAAACTTAAACCAATAACGTTTTGTGCACTGTTTTGAGTCTTTGAGACATTCAAAAATGTATGAAACAATTTTAAAGTTGTTTGTTTAATTTTTGTCGAGATTTTGGTCTATTTTTGGTTTTAATTTTGCTCAAAAACCACCGAGTGAAAAAAAATATCAAATTTTATTTACATATTTTTGTGATTTTTAGGCGTGTTGGGACAAGATTTTGCATAATAAACAAGCCTCTGGTTCAAAAACAAAGAAAGTCAAGCGAAACAGGCTAAAAATAACATCAATTTTGATTTAATTTTTTAGTTTATTTAAAAAAAACAGTTTTTTAAATAACATCATACTTGGCCTATTTCGTCAAATTTTTGGCTTATTTTAACAAAATTTTGCGAAATAATTGAATTTTTATGTAAAAAATCTACTTACTGAAGCAGTTGAAAAAGGTAAAATTAAATTGCGTTTCAAGGTGAAAAATTAGTGAAACGATCAAAAAATGCACAAATATTACTTAATCTCTTGATTTTTTTATTTGTTTTAACACAATCTTGCAAAAAGCCAAAGATTTATTTATAAAAATGTGCTTACAAGCATTTTCTACCAAATTTTATGTTTTTTCAGTAATCTTTTGTTTTAA